CTCAGGAAACAAACTGAGGGTTGCTGGAGTGGTGGGGGGTGGGAGGGATGGGGTGGCTGGGTGATAGACATTGGGGAGGGTATGTGCTATGGTGAGCGCTGTGAATTGTGCAAGACTGTTGAATCACAGATCTGTACCTCTGAAACAAATAAGGCAATATATGTTAAGAAAAAAAAAAAAGAAGAAGATAGCAGGAGGGGAAGAATGAGGGGGGGAAATCGGAGGGGGAGACCAACCATGAGAGAATGGACTCTGAAAAACAAACTGAGGGTTCTAGAGGGGAGGGCGTGGGCGGATGTGTTAGCCTGGTGATGGGTATTAAAGAGGGCACGTTCTGCGTGGAGGACTGGGTGTTATGCACAAACAATGAATCATGGAACACTACATCCAAAACTAATCATGTAATGAATGGTGATTAACAGAACAATAAAAAAATTTTAAAAAAGAGTACTATGAACGATTGTTTGCCATCAAATTGTACAACCCAGGTGAAATGGAAAAATTCCTAGAAACACAAAAGCTATCAGACTAAATTCGAAGAGACAGAAAATGTAAATAAAATAACCTATAAAAGTAAGGAGATAGAATCAGTAATCAAGAATCTCTCAATGGAGCAGCTGCCGCGGCCGCCACCACCACTGCGGCCACTACCGCCGCCGTGTTCGGGTGTAGATTTTGGAATCCCTGCGTCTCCTTAACAATGAAGCAGAGTTCGAACGTGCCGGCTTTCCTCAGCAAGCTATGGACGCTTGTGGAGGAAACCCACACCAACGAGTTCATCACCTGGAGCCAGAATGGCCAGAGTTTTCTGGTTTTGGATGAACAAAGATTTGCAAAAGAAATTCTTCCCAAATATTTCAAGCACAATAATATGGCAAGCTTTGTGAGGCAATTGAATATGTATGGTTTCCATAAGGTTGTGCATATTGACTCTGGAATTGTAAAGCAGGAATGAGATGGTCCTGTTGAATTTCAGCATCCTTACTTCAAACAAGGCCAGGATGACTTGTTGGAGAACATTAAAAGGAAGGTTTCATCTTCAAAACCAGAAGAAAATAAGATTCGTCAGGATGATTTATCAAAAATTATAAGTAGTGCTCAGAAGGTTCAAATAAAACAAGAAACTATTGAGTCCAGGCTTTCTGAATTAAAAAGTGAGAATGAGTCTCTATGGAAGGAGGTGTCAGAATTAAGAGCAAAACACGCACAACAGCAACAAGTTATTCGAAAGATTGTCCAGTTTATTGTTACATTGGTTCAGAATAACCAACTTGTGAGTTTAAAACGTAAAAGGCCTCTACTTCTAAACACTAATGGAGCCCAAAAGAAGAATCTGTTTCAGCATATAGTCAAAGAACCAGCTGATAATCACCATCATAAAGTTCCACACAGTAGGACTGAAGGTTTAAAGGCAAGGGAGCGGATTTCAGATGACATCATCATTTATGATGTAACTGATGATAACACAGATGAAGAAAATATCCCAATTATTCCAGAAACTAATAAGGATGTTATATCTGATCCCTCCAACTGTAGCCAATACCCTGATATTGTCATTCTTGGAGATGACAATGAAGATGAGTATGCACCTGTCATTCAGAGTGGAGATCAGAATGAACCAGCCAGAGAATCCCTAAGTTCATGGCACCAGTCCTCTTATGTCTAGTGCTGTCCAGCTAAATGGCTCATCTAGTCTGACCACAGAAGATCCTGTGACCATGATGGGTTCCATTTTAAATGATAACATCAATCTTCTGGGAAAGGTTGAGCTGTTGGATTATCTTGACAGTATTGATTGCAGCTTAGAGGACTTCCAAGCCATGCTGTCAGGAAGACAGTTTAGCATAGACCCAGATCTCCTGATTGATTCTGAGAATAAAGGATTAGAAACTACCAAGAACAATGTAGTTCAGCTAGTTTCAGAAGAGGGAAGAAAATCTAAACCCAAAACAGATAAGCAGCTTATTCAGTACACTGCCTTTCCACTTCTTGCATTCCTCGATGGGAACCCTGCTTCTACTGTTGAACAGGGGAGTACAGCATCATCAGAAGTTATGTCCTCTGTAGAAAAACCCATAGAAGTTGATGAGCTTCTGGATAGCAGCCTAGATCCAGAGCCAACCCAGAGTAAGCTTGTTCGCCTGGAGCCATTGACTGAAGCCGAAGCTTGCGAAGCCACACTGTTTTATTTATGTGAACTTGCTCCTGCACCTCTGGATAGTGATATGCCACTTTTAGACAGCTAAATCCCCAGGAAGTGGACTCTACATGTATATATTCATCAAAATGATGAACTATTTATTTTAAAGTATCATTTGGTACTTTTTTTTGTAAATTGCTTTGTTTTGTTTAATCAGATACTGTGGAATCAAAAGCACCTTTTGCTTTTCTCACTTACACACTCTTGCAAAGCTTTCAGATGTTACTCAGCTACGTAGGTACACAAAATTTAATGCACATTGTTGGCATTATCTTTAAGTTGGATTCAAATGGCCATTTTTCTCCACTTGTAGTGGAGATTTAACAAAATTTTTTACATATATGCCCATTAACCCCAGTTAAACTTTTGTTTGTTTTACTTGTTTGATGCTGTCTGTTTGCATTGAGTGTAAGTCACTAGAACTAATGGTAGAACTCTTAAACCTTTGTCTGTTCCAGTTACTTTTATCAAATATTTTTCACTTGGCTTATTTTTAAAACTGGGAACTTAAAGTGCCTGTATCTTATAAAACTTCATTTGTCTCTCTTGTTCAGAGAAGTTCATTCATGTTCAAAGGAAAGGCAAAGTATACCCGAGTACTTGCTGTCAGGTAGGGCTCCAGCTCCATACACATAAAAAGAAGGGGGATGGGATGGCATCAACCCCATCCATCTCATTGGACTAGTTTTAAGTAAAAGTTTTCTGATTTGTTTGTGTTTTTTTTTTTGAACCATACTATTTAGTAAAATAAATATAATGAATGTTGCGTAAAAAAAAAAAAAAAAAAGAATCTCTCAATGAAGAAAAATCCCCGGACATAATGGCTTCACTGGTGAATTCTACCAAACCTTAAAGAAGAACTAAGTTCAGGTTTTCTATAACTTTTCCAAAAAATTAAAGGAGGGAACAATTTTATAATTCATTATCTGAAGGTGGCATTATTCTTTACCAAAGCCAGAAAACACATTACAAAAAAGCTGCAAACCAATATCCCTTATGAACACTGATGCAAAAAATCCTCAACAAAATACAAAATAGCAAATAGAGTTCAGCAGCGTATTTAAAGGATCATACACCATGATCAAACAGGATTTTTTTTTTCTGGAATGCAAGGATGGTTCAACATAAGAAAATGAATCATTTTAATATACCACATTAACAGAATAAAGAACAATAGCCACATGATCATTTCAATTGATGCAGTTAAAGCATTTGAAAAAATTCAACACCCTTTCATGATAAAAATATTCAACAAACTAGGAATAGAAGGAACTACCTCAATATAATAAAAGCCATATATGAAAAACCCACAGCAAACATCATACTCAGTAGTAAAAGACTGAAAACGTTTTCTCTAAGATTAGGAACAAGGCAAGAACACCAATTTCACCACTTCTATTCAACACATTAGCGAAAGTTCTAGCCAGAGCAATTAGGCAAGAAAAAGAAATGAAAAGTACCCAGATTAAAAAGGAAGAAATAAAATTATCTCTGTCTGCAGACAAAACCCTAAAGATGCACAAAAATTGTTAGAACTAATAAGCAAATTCAGCAAAGTAGCAGGGTTCAAAGTCAACAAACAAAAATCAGTTGTATTTCTATGCACCAATAAAGAACAATTCTAAAAGGAAATTAAGAAGACAATTCCCTTACATTAGCATCAAATAGAATAAAATACTTAGGTATAAACTTAATCAAGGAGGTGAAAGAATTGTACACTGAACACTATAAAACATTGATGAAAAATTAAAGAAGAGATAAATAAATGGAAAGACATCCATGTTCATGGATCAGAAGACTTAATATTATTAGAATGTCAATATTATCCAAAGCAATCTACAGAGTCAGTTCAATCCCTACCAAAATCCCAAGGATGATTTTTGCAAAAATACAAAAACTCAACTTAAAATTCATGTGGAATCAAAGGTACCTTAAATAGCTAAAAAAAAATCTTGAAATAGAAGAACAAAGCTGGAGGTCTTACACTTCATGGTTTCCAAACTTACTATAAAGCTACAGTAATTAAAACAGTGTATACTTGCATAGGAGACATGTATAAACCAATGGAATAGAACAGAGATCCTTGAGAGCACCTGGGTGGCTCAGTCGTTAAGCATCTGCCTTTGGCTCAGGTCATAATCCCAGCGTCCTGGGATTGAGCCCCACATCGGGCTCCCTCCTCCACGGGAAGTCTGCTTTTCCCTCTCCCACTCCCCCTGCTTGTGTTCCTGCTCTCTCTATCTCTCTCTGTCAAATAAATAAATAAAATCTTTAAAAAAAATTAAAAAAAGAACAGAGCTCCTTGAAGTAAAAGTTTGCATGCTTGGACAAAAGACTTTTGACAAGGGGGCCAAGATCAAGCAATGGGGAAAGGACAGTCCTTTCAACAAAAAGTGAAGACTGAATATCCACATGTGAAGAAATGAACTTGGACCCTTACCTAACACCATAAATAAAAAGTAATTCAAAGTGGACCAAAGACCTAAACTTAGACCTAAAACTATAAAGTTCTTACACAAAAACATCAGACAAATCTTCATGTCATTGGATTTGGCATGATTTCTTAGATATGACACCAAAGTCACAGGCAACAAAATTAAAAATAGACAAATTGGACCTCATGAATATTAAAAAGAATTGTGCATTCAAAAACAATATCAGCAGAGTAAAAAGATAACCCATGGAATGAGAGAAAATATTTATAAGTCATGTATCTGATAACAGATTAACATTCAGAATATAGAGTGAACTCCTAAAACTCAGCAACAAAAAACCAAACAACCCAATTTAAAGTGTGGGCTAAGAACTTGAATAGACATTCTCCAAAGAAGATATACAAATGGCCAATAAGCACATGAAAAGATGCTCCACATCATTAACCTTTAGGAAATGCAAATAAAAAGTACAATGAAATCACACTTCACACTCAGGATGGCTACCTTAAAAAAAAATGAAGCAGAACATAAGAAGTGATGGCAAGGTTGTTGAAATTGGGGCCTTGAGCACTGTTGATGGGAATATAAAATGGTACAGTTCATGTGGAAAACAGCATGGTGGCTCCTCAAAAAATGAAAAATAGTATTACCACAAGATCTGACCATTCTACTTCTGGGTATATAATCAAAAGAATTGAAAGCAGGGTCTTGAGGAGATCTTGGTACACCCATGTTTACAGCAGCGTTCTTCACAACTGCTAAAATGTGGATGCAACACAAGTGTCCATCAATGGACGGTTGGTTGAGAAAAATGTGTGTGTATATATAGTGGAATATTATTCAGGGTTAAACAGGAAGAAGTTCTGACACATGTTACAACATAGATGAAACTTGAGGACATTCTGCTAAGTGAAATAAGCCAGTCACAAATGACAAATATGGTATGATTGTACTTATATGAAGTACTAAAAGTAGTCACAATTACACAGGCAGAAAGTAAAATGTTGATTGCCAGAGGGTGTTTGTGCAGAGGGTGCTGGGGGATTATTGGTTAATGGGGACAGAGCCTCAGTTTTGTAAGACGAAGTGTTTTGAAGGTGGGATGTGGTGATGGTCGCACAGCAGTGTGAAGGTATTTGATACTACCGAACTGTATGCTGAAAAATGGTTAACATTGGGGAATTTTATATATTGTATATTTTACCACAACAAAAAATTTGGAAAAAGTGGAGAAAAAAAGACTTTTTCGGACAGACAAAAATTGAGGGAACTTGTTGCCAGGAGACCTGCCTTGCAAGAAATGTTAAGAGAAGTTCCTCAGAGAGAAGGAAAATGATGTAGGTCAGAAGCTCAGACCTACCTACAGAAAGGAAGAACCTTAGAGAAGGAATAAGTGAAGGCGAACAAAAACAAAAAAAACCTTAAACAGAATAATGCCCTCCTTCTTTCCCTCTCTCCCTTTCCTACAAATACAGCTAAAGATGAGTTGTAATTGTTTCTGATGATCTGAATGCACTCTCATAAAAATGAAATTACTTTATAGACATTATAGGTATATATATTCTTAGAGTATTGTTTATATGATAATTTTTATTTAATTCTGGTGAAATAAAGAGGTTAATTTTAATCTAGAAAACTAAAATTATTTTTGCCCCTTTTCTATGTAGTCTTGTTAGAAACAATTATGTGCTCTTAACTTGACAATGATATTTGAAGTCAGGAGAACTGATACGCAGTTATATTCATGGAAAGTTTTAGATTGTCCTCTTTGCATCAAGGAAACGTTTTCTTCTGTGCTTTGAAGTTCTGCAAACTGTCTCTCAACTTCATCTAAGCTGAAAGATAGTTCATGATTCTCCTTTCTTTTTTGGTGCTGTCGATTTCCCTCAAATTTAGATGGGGCTAGCGATGTTAGTGCTGGCCTTTTTAACAAGCTACAAAAATTGTATTACATTACAAAAGAACAGAAGAAACCAGGTCTGGCTGCTCTTTCTTCTTTCTGCTAGCACTGCACTCAAGAATGTGTATTGGTCAAACGAATTGCACATGTCCTTTTGTGTCCCTGTGCAGACAGCTGGTTAGAGCATGTGGCTACCCTTCTCTGTCATTTATGCTGTCTCTGAAGATGGGAAGAAATGTCACCTTGGTCACAGCCCGTAAACCTCTAGCCCAATGTCACATCACCAAAACAATAAAAGATGACAGAAACCTCTTAGTGCAGTATAAGAAGATGCAGCCTCCAAATGCACAACCCTAGATTGATAGCTGTAAGAAAGAATAATGAAAAAATATAACACCATGAAATGTTAATAGCCTCAGTGTCAATAATTCTGAGTCAAGGCCATCAGAATAGATAATATCTTTTCTCTTAAAAATCTGCTTTATATCCCTTTAAAGATTTCAATAGTTTTCCTTTAAAATGCCTGTGTGTCCCCACAGCCTAAATCTGGTATAAAAAAATGTCTCTGAACTAATAGTTTTCTGTGAAATGCTATTTTAACATTACACAAGTTACCAGTTCTCCCTTTCTCTCACTGTCTTTAAACCCTAACCAAGTCTTATTAAATAATCTGCTCTAAAACTCCTACTTTTGCAAATTTCTTGAAAATGGGGCAGGGAGGAAAGACCCCACAAACTTTCTTAAAGAAGGAAATCTGAATTGAAGTTCAGAGTTTTGCTCCGCTCGGGACCTCAGTGAACACAAGGCATGTTCTCTGTTGGCACGTGTTTAGGCTTTTTTGGTATTACTTCCCACACGTTACTTCACAGCTGGAATTTCTCTGAATGTAAAGGGTTTGAATCAGCCACAAAACTGTAGCTTAAAATTCTTAATGAAATTTCACAAATTTAATAGGAAAAGGTCAAATCCAGAATTACTCCCACTGGCAAAATATTTT